GTGTGTGTGTGTGTGTGTGTGTGTGTGTGTGTGTGTGTGTGCTGGGATAGGAACCCAGGCACCCACTTGCTCGGCAAGTACTGGATTACTGAGCCTCATCTCCACTTGAAGAACTTCTTTAACACTTCTTACAAACTTTGTCTGTTGGCAACCAGTCCTCTCACTTGTCTGGGATTGCCCCTCTTTGCCCTACATTTTGAAAATTAATTTTGCTGAATAGAGGATTATTTTTAGTGTTGGTTTTTTATTGTGTAACTGGGGTACTAGTAGTTACAAGAGTGTTCACTAAGCTTGTTACCTGATACAAAGACTTGAGCACTGAAGAAGACAGAAGATTAAGCCACAGAGGAAGGAAACATAGTAGCTTTTTCCAGTTGGGATGGGAGAGGCCTAAGGCTGGAAGTTCATTAAACACATGCTAACTTGGACCTCTGGCACCTCATTTCCTCGTCAGTCCTGTTTAGATGTCAGGCCCTGTGCTTTCCCTCTAGTTCTTGCCATGTCTTCTGGGAACAAGAAGTCACCATATCCGGGAGCCCACTGCTGCTTTCCTCATCTATCTCTGTCCCCCAGGTAGACCTTGTGTTTGGTTTCCTCTTGATATTTAGCACTCTGTCCACTTTCTTCAGGTTGTAATTGTTTCTAACTAGAAGTCAGTGATTTATCTTAATGAGCATCCGTTACATATGAATTCGGTTGATCAGAATGTTGATTTCTTATCCTTCCTCCCCACCCCCTGAAATTGTTGTAATTGTCTTTGTACTTATTTTTCTAAAAGTGTATTGACTTCTGTGGATGTGTAGATTAATGTTTCTCGCTTTCTTAATATGTTTAGGAAGTGTCTAATAATGATGTGTTTCTGTACTCCCGTTTTCCTGGTATTTTCATTATGTGTTTGTTGTCTACTTAAGGATGTTTCACAATTACCCAAGGTTGCTCCTTTTCTTCAGGTTTTAGTCTTTGTTCTTTGGATTGCATAATTCCTTTTGATAAATCTTCAAGTTTACTCATTTTTCCCTCTGTCAGTGGAAATATACTGTTGAGCTCCTCCAGTAAATATTTCATTTCATGCGTGGTACTTTTTAAATGATCTGCATTCCTCAATTTACTGCTTCTTTACAAGTGCTATTAACTGGTTGAAATGTAGGCATTTTAGATGCTAAATTGTTTATTTCAGGTACTGGATCCACTATTAACAGCTTGATTGCAATTTTCTTGTCAGTTCGCTTAATGTTCAGGATGAACTATTTCGGTGAGATATGTTTCCCTGACCATATGTGTGCTACTCAGAGGATATAAGCTTTGATATCCTTGCAGTCATCCTGAGGTGATGGTGACTTTATCAGCCCCCCCTTTTTTCCTTTATGCCATTTTGATCATATCCAGCTGTTAGGCTCTGCTAATTATCAGCTGGTTGTTCATTTGGAATCCTCTGTTTGGTTACTTAATACAACTCAATTTGTAACCTAGACTTTCCTTGAATTAGATATGAAAAACATCTATTCTCCCTCAGGCAGCCTTTTTGTAAAATTGTGAAATTTAAGAGCACTGGGTACATCCTTTCCACCTCCCCTAACCAAGCAATTATACTCAGGCCACTCACAGCCTCATATTCCTCAGGAAATTTTCCTTGACATGGAAAGAGGCATTTCATGAAGAAAGCTTATGTTTGACTTCTACCCAGCCCAGGACAAGTGACTGACATAAAGACACAAAGTCGTTTGATTTGTTTCAACAGAAGACCACGTCCTAGGAATAATAATTTTCTTTTTTTTTCAGTGTATATATGACTAATCTCTCAACCTCTCAGTCACTGTTTCAATATTCTAAGACAGTGTAGTTTTGAACTAAACTAGTAGCCTTGCTTAGTTTCCTTCATCTGTCTTGTCCTGATTCTTACTTTACTTTACCAGAGAGTACTCTCATAGCAAATCACTTCTTCAGGCATGCAGGCATCAATTATTTGTATTCCTAGAAAAGTCTGTCCAAGTCAGCTGTTATTAGCAAAGGATTCCAAGCAGAATAGGGAATCAGGAGGTGGATACATATTCTCTGGTCAGATGTCAAGGAGCATGCCTCTTTGGGGGTATTGACAGACCTTATTAGACCATGAAGTACATAAAGTTAAACTTTTTCCTCTTGGTGGGCTAGTATTTCAGAAATTCAAGGACATGGGAACAGTAAGAACTATATAGCTTGGTAGATACTGCTAAGTGACATTATTGGGGGAGATAAAACAATAGACTCAGTCGATTTCCAGGAATATAGTAGAGTTGAGAGTTCATTAGTTCATTTTCTGTTGCTGTAACAAAATACCCAAAGCTGGGTACTTTATAAAGATGGGAAATTCCATTTTCTCCCTGTTTTGGAGTCCTAAGATCATGGCACCAGCATCTTCTGGGTTCCAGTTATGGGGATGGTGTGGTGGATGTTATCCAAATAAAGAGAGGGCAATCAGGAGAGGTCTCATGGCAAAACAGGAAGCAGAATGAAAACTGAAGCAACCTAGATAACTTTATCCCCCCCTCCTTTTTTCCCAATATTTAGGGATAGATTTGCACACATACTGTAGCTCAGGATGGCTTATAACTCACCATATGGCCCAAGATGGCCTAAAACTCATAGCAATCCTCCTGCCTCAGCTTTATGGATTACCTGGTCATAAACATCAAATTCTAATGCAAACCGTTACACCCAAGGTGACAACCACAGATCCTCTGAGGGTGGTGACATCACTACCCTCTAGTCTTTGTGTGAAGATCTCTGACGATGCAATTAAGAACTATGGACATCAGTAACTCCATCTCGTGCTGTTTGCCTTTCTGTTGCTGGGATGAGACACAATGACCAAGGCAACTTGTAGAAGAAAGACTTTATTTAGGGATTGTGCTTCCAGAGTGTGAACCCATGACCCTTATGGTGGGGATCATGAGAGCAGGTAGGTGGGCATGGCACTGGAGCAGCAGCTGAGAGCTTATATCTCAACCCACAAGCATGAGGCAGAGATATAGAGAGAGGGGGAGAGGGAGAGGGAAGAGAGAGAGAAGGGAGAGGGGGAGAGAGAAGAGAGAGAAGGGGAGGGAAGAAAGGGAGGAGGGAAGAGAGAGGGAGAGAGAGAGAGAGAGCAAGACAGAGAGACAGAGAGAGCTGGGGGAGAGAGAGTTAACTGAAGCTAACTGGGAAATGTGTGGGCTTTTGAAACCTCAATGTCCACCTCCAGTGACACACCTCCTCCAACAAGGCCATGCATCCTGACCTTCACAAACAGTTCAGCCAACTGGAAACCAAGCATTTACTTATATGGGTCTATGTAGGCCATTGCCATTCAAATCTCTGCACTTGGCCTGATGACCTGGTCTCCTGTGAGGGAGATACAGTCCCTTCTCTTACCTGAGGGATATACATAACTCAAGTGATCTCTTTCCAGGTGAGTCTAGGCAGTCTCAAGTTGACAACTGACGCTGACTATCACAAATGGGATAATGGAATATTTACAGGACAGTAGGACAGAAGCACCTTCAGTGGACTCCTTGGTAGGGAATACACAGGTATCAGGTTATTAGGACTACTATAGCCACCTCACACATTGCCTTAGAAGACAGTACTTGTCTTCCTCATAATCTGATTCTATCATATCTCCTCCTAAAAGGATGACAATAGATTTAACTCTCAACATAGACTTGGCAGCTGAGACTAACAGTGAATTGGAGACATTATACACCAAAGCTGCAGAAAGCCTGGCCTGGCATGCACCAGAGAAAGCGTGACTGGAGGGGATTCAGAGAGCAGGCCATCAGGGGAGTGCTTGGAATACAAAGCTGGGCAAGGGAAAAGTGCAGATTTGGAGGTATTCCTCCATCATGGAGAACTTAGCACTTTAGCCAATGATCTAGAAATATGAGGCTAATATATGCCATTTGTTGATGCCAAAAGTTTTCAAAAAGTAATAACCTTCATTAAAGTAA